GTAAGTCAGCTTCCATTTTTATTTTTTACATATATATATATATTGATATGTATTTGGGCAGTAACCTTTTTTGCATGCATCTTTCATTGAAAACAGCCAAAAAGGAAGATTAATTAATGTTTTCTTGAGTTTTTCCAGCAATTTTTCTGTTTTCCAGGGGTTAAAGAATATAGGAATTATCCATAGTTATAATTGGACACCTAACCGATTACTCTTGGCTACTTCTCTCGCCATTATCATGGATGTGTTTTTGGATGGTAAAATCCTGTGTGTGGCTGTTACATAGTAATTTTACTGTGTTGAGTTCAAGTGGTTTTTGTGCTTCTTGGTGTTCATGTTCTATGTGCAGCCAGTTGACCAGGGCAAGACTTATATTTTTAGAACATTTTTAACACTCCATCTCCTCTGCTAAATAGTATAAGATTGATATTTGAAGAATAAAATTTAATAAAAAGAGCCTCCTTAATGATGAACTGTGTATGACTATGTGACCTGAAAAGGATCCTTGTATTATCAACTAGAATGTTAGATTGCTGGAAAAACTCAATAAAAGATTAATTAAATCTTCCGTGTCGTTATTTTTCAATGAAAGATTCATATGTTTATGTATGTGCATATATATATATATATATATATATATATACATAAACATATGAATCTTTCATTGAAAAATAACGACTATGTATATTACCATGAATCATTCATACAAAAAGTAGATTTAGTAAAGTTAATGGTATAAAATGGTGAAATCCTTTCGAACAAAATTTTAAAGTTTCATCAACCTATAAATCACTCGATGAATGTTATGATCCTTGTTTTTAATAATTATGACCTGTATAAGGTCTTTTTTTTAATGTACAAGTACTTTCAATGTTCAGTGTTCACTTTTATATTTACATATGCTCTATCTCTAATATTGAGCACTTTATCCCATAAATATAGCACACCTTAAAACTATATATCTTCATTCATTCATATATATATATATATATATATATAAGTAATGAAAATCTTGGTAATTCGTATGGATAATCTCAAGGAGGATGAAATCCTGAGAGTTCAATGTTAAGTCAAAGCAAATAATTTAATTTAAGAAAAACAAACCACTTTAAGGCTCCATTGTAATAATTTATTTCACCAGAGAATTTTATTTTTCTCTGAATCTTTAGACTTCACTTTCACGGGTGAAACAAAAAATGAATTTAAAATTTGCACTTTTGACAGGCAGTATTAAGCTTATGTAAGTTGACATAGAGGGCAGTGAGGAATAGTGTGAGAGACATGGTCGAGTTTAGAGAGGGAAGGGAGAGTTTTAAAATTTATTTTAATTTTTATTACAATACTTAATATTGAGGAAGGAGGGGGTAAGGATCAGACATTGACCTATTTAATCGGGCAGCTCAATGGAAATGATATGGGAAAAAGGGAAAAGGAAAAAAAAGGTGAGGGGAATATAAGGATAATATATAAGAGATGTACATAGGGTTTTTGGAGGAAGGAAAGGGGTGGTATAGCTTTAGCAATTTAGATAAACACTGATTTTAACATTTATATATATATATGTATGTGTATGCATATATGGTGCGATGGGTAAATTGTCGCTATTTCTGTCAGAAATTTGGAAATGACATACTGTAGTGCTTGGGTTGAGCACCATTTATGAGAAAAGAGCACCATGATGCAATTCACGCTGCCAGAAATTTGGAAAAAAATTGGAATGCTTGGCATTTGTGTCTGAAGCTTTAATATGAACATTTAAGAGTGTTTGGGTGTCAATCTGAGGACAGTGCAGAGCATTCGGAAAGAGTTGGATGAGTCTAATGGTGATTATCAAGCTACAGCAACTTGGAACACTCACTCTGGTTATTCTGATAAAAATAGAACACCCGAATTTGTTAGCAAGGATCTCAGCCTCAACACAGAGGCCTACTGAGGAGGTAGTGCTGCCCTGGGTCATGAGAGTGGCTGCTCAAAGACCCTATATCATGCAACAGTACTCTGCACTATACCACACAAGCAGCAGAACCCAGTCATGGCTGTCAGATAATTTCTGCAACCACATCACCCCTTATATCTGACCACCTAACTCCCCAGTCTGCAACTCCGTTGATTATTATACATAGGGCACAGTTGAGTGAGCAAAGCAACAAACTTCCTTGTAACACCAAAGATGAACTGAGGACAAGGATTATAGCAGCATTCACCAACTTAAACAAGGAGACCGTCCAGAAGTGCTGCAGGAGATCCTAAAGTTATTTGGAGATTGTGGTTGAAGCCAATAGCGATTTTATTGAATATATTTACTGTTTAGTATTTCAAGATATTTTTGTGTAATTTTGGTAAATATATCTGTACAATGAGATGTCAGTGCTATTTTCCTTTTTACATAATTTAGATGACAATTTATCCATCGCACCAAATATATATATATATATATATATATATATATATAACATTCTTGAATGAACAAAAGTAATATTCACTTAACCATACTGCTAATAATTTGTTAACTTTCCCTTATCTGACAATCTCATTAGCTTTCAATTCTCGTTTTAATCTAATATTCTTGACATGTGTTTGTCGTTGCACATAATGCAATGAAATTAGATGATTATAATGTCTATTATTAAGCTTATTTCTATTAATTTTGAAATTGATTGGCTTTTTGTATATTTAATTAGTAACAAAAGGAAGAGGAAATTAATTCAATTACTTTTTTATGGTTATGATTAAGCTATTTGGAGGCATGGTGGTGTAATGGATAGTGGCTCGGATTGAGGTATTGGAGTGCCAAGTTCAAACTCCAGTCAAGTTCGTTACATTCACTTATGTGCTAATACTCTTGGTATGAATCCATCTTTTCTCCTCCCCTGCTATGGGTAAATAGCAGGACAGACTGGGTTCTATAGCCTAGTGTGGAAACCAGTCTAGAAGAAGGAAACTGAGTTTAAACCACCTGCTGCCTTGTAGGCCCTGCCTCTTTAGGTAAAGGCTAGATTAAGGTAACTTCAAGAACAAATCTTCCTCTGAGAGGAGAAATAGGGTGCAAATGAAACTGGCAAGTCATTGCACATTTCTGCCTTGAATGTCATGAAAAACCATGATTGTCGGGTGGAGGGGAATGATGTCAAAAGCAACCAAGAATGCCCAAAGTGAATAAAATGAATGATCAATGATATGATTAACCCATTGGTACCCACTGTAAAATCCAAAGAAGAATTTGCAATGTTATTAGTCCTGACCTGGCATCTCAGCTTCAGTCACTTTCTCACTGTCATAATATAGCTTCCCTGTGCCTTTTCCATGAATACTTTAATGGCAATATATATTCTTCATATACTCATGGTAGTGTATATTATTTACTAGAGTAATGCTTCTTAACCTTTTTTTATTCATAACCGCATTCACAAGATTTTTTGTGGCCCCAGGTATTAACCAACAAACACTGAAAATACATACATTGGCACTGCACTGCACTTGTCACAATGGTGCTGCACGTGCATTTTATTACCACAGCACTCGTGTGGTACATCACGTTAAATATTGTGCATTTGTGAAATAACACATAAACTGAAATTCAAGTGTTTGAATTTAATTTTCACAACCCCAGCATTTTGCTTTGCAACCCTATTTGGGGTCGCAACCTATAGTTTAAGAAGTGCTGTACTAGAGGATATGGTTGTGGCTGGGTGGTTAAAACGTTCGTTTTCCTGCTGTTAGATCCAGCTTCAAATCTCTCCATGGTCGATTTGTCAGGAAGATGACTTCTTGTTTTATCAGCCTGGAGAGGTGATTCCATCATGCAGTACATTTGGAAGCTTTCTGAAAACCATAGCACGGGTTGATGCAAGCCTTATGAGTGAAATTTGGTAGACAGAATTATTGAGAGCTGTTGATGGTTGTGACTAAGGATTTGAGTGTACTGGCCTTGTTCAAACTGTTGATCCTGCCAGATAATGTGCTCTCTCTCCCAGAAATTGTAACTATGGTCCATTCAGCATAGTTGCAGTATAAACCACAGGTGGGTTCTGTGGGTATTGAACAAATACAAGTGTGTCTGAGCAGGAATCTGCAACAGGGATTGGCTAGTCATCTTAATAGACAGGCATCCTTGGATATCAGTGGCCAGCCATTATATACTAGAGAAAATATTGTTTTAGTCTATTATTCTTGGGTTAATGTTTTCCGCCCGTTTGAAGAGGAAAGATTATATTGAATCAATAGCTAGTTCTGTTGCAAAGAAAATTGGTTCACTGTGTTGTTCTAGACAATTTTTCTCACCAGAATCTCTCTTATTTATAAGTCTACCATTTGTCTGTGCATTGAATATTGCTGCCACATATGGTCTGGTGCTTCTACTATGCATTTAGAGATTATTGATAAGATCCAAAGAAGATTCTGCAATGTCATTGGTCTTGACCTGGCATCTCAGCTTCTGTCACTTTCCCAATGCTGTAACATAACTTACCTGTGCCTTTTCTATAAATATTTTCTAAGTAATTGTCCCGATGAGCTGTTTTTGGTATCTCGATTTTACAAATTTAAGCACAGTACTAGATTGGTGGCAACTGAAATGGTTAGATGTAAATATAAGTCCTATGATAACGGTATCTTTTCTCACATTTTTCACTTGCTGTCTCTTCAAGCTTCTTGCTTTCATGTCAACATTGATCTTCAAAAATGTAAATGCAATGTCAACCCTTATCTTCAGTCTTTTTTAGTCTTGTTCTTTTATTTTTCACTCTCCTAAGTGTTTTTGTTTTTCTCATATTCTTTCACTCTGTTTTCACTTGCACCTTAGTGGCTTTCTTGGAGTGAAACAATTAAAAAAAAATAAAATCTAGTATCAATTCTGAAATTTAATATGATAATCCAGTATTAATTCTAAGTTTCTACCCCAAACTATTCCTTGCTCACCATCCCAAAATGGGCTGATGAGTACTAATGACTTAATTAGACATGCTTGTTAGGGTTTTTGCAATTAATATGACAATTAACTG